GAGTTATTATACAACCATTTATATTTGTACAACCAATACAACTCAATCTCAACTATCCATTTAATTTGATGAATATGTGATTTAATAGAAACTTTGATTGTTTCCTAATATAAAGTATTGATCATAATTAATTAACCATATTTTTCTTTCATAAATATTCAAATCATAATAAATGAACTCTCATCATTTCCATAAATATTTCAATTTATTGGGTTGTATTGGTTGTGCAAATGTGATGAGTTGCATTTGAACCAAACTATATATATATATATATATATATATATATATATATATATGAAAATGATGAGAGTTCATTTATTATGATTTGAATATTTATGGAAGATGAATAAAGTTCATTAATTATGATCAATACTTTATATTAGGAAACAATCAAAACTTTTATGAAATCACATATTAATCAAATTAAATGGACAGTTGAAATTGAATTGTATTAGTTGTAGAAATATAAACGATTGCATAATAAGTCACCCCTCTCTCTCTATATATATATGAAAATATTGATGGTGACTAGTGTTCTAAATAGTACAAGCTTGTCTTTAAGAGCCTAATGTCATGTTAGGTGGCCTAATTTGTGAGGCATTCTTAAATATCCTTTTTTTAATTTTTAGTACTTTAGTTTAGGTTTAATAAGTATACAACCTACTTTTATATATTCTTAGATTAGAGTAAGGGGTGGGCTAAATGCACTTCTATGCATTGCTTAATGCATCTCTATCCATGAATTTTTTTCCTCACACACATCAACATCAATATATGTTTTTTACATTCCCAATGCTTGAATGACCTGATTCTGACATCAAAGGGGGTGCCATTAGCACTCCCCTAGAGTAACGGTAGAAAGTACTTTTAAAAAAAGAATAGAATAATAATCTGAATCGTTAGATTGAGATGATTCAATAGATGTTATTATAATCAAAGTTTAAAAATAAATATATTCCTCCTTATTTTTAATTGAAAATTGGTGAAATATGATCAAAATTTTAAGAGAAAACAAAGCACAAAAAACAGTCATCTTATCATATTTGATTTAATATCAATATGATATATTGTTTTCATCCGTTTTAATTTTCGTGGTTCTTCGGTTTTTAGGTTCTCCCTCGATTTAACGAAAACACGATCGAATAAAAGATCTAAAGAACATTTAAATCACACGTATTTTTACAATGAAATTGCATGCGAATCTGAGACATAGTCAATGTAAGTTCGTGCGGATGATTGGACATGTGATTTCGTTGTCCTCGTATAAG